TTTAGGGATGTTTAGGGTGTAGGGTTTAGGGTCAGTGCAGCAACCGCTTTGATCTTCTGGAAGAACACAAGTTCTGGAAAATAAGCCAAAGCACAGGCAGCAGGACAGAAATGTTCTCATTCTCCAACATCACATCGCCCCCGGCAATTTCAAAGGCGACGCTGACCATCGATATGCCTTGCGCATCCTCGCAATCACACGAAAACAGAGGAACACACACGCTAGGATGGCCTCGAAACCCCTCTGAACACTATTCCTGAATATGATCCTCTTAAGCCCAAATAAGGGAAAAGATGAAGTCTCCCAAGGGCCTACCAAGCACACAGAAACACAGGCTTGGCTTGGGATGGCTTGAGGCTCGGTGGGACTAGTCCTGCATCTCACGCTGGAGTCCGTCTGTCGCAGTTTCCAACATCTGCTTTGCGAACTCGGCCTGGCGGCTAAACCTGCAACCAGAAGCCCTAAACCGTAAACCCTAAACCCTTATCAGTCAGCTCCGTCGAATCCACCATGCGTGTTCTTTTCTGGCAAGTCTTGGAGCCCTGGTCAAGAGGCGCGAGGTTGCTCCTGAAATGCCACTGCCATGTGAGCGAACCATTCACCCTAGTGCCATGGCGTACTGCACAAGCAGTACTGCGCGAAACATATGTCCTCTCTCCACATAAGCGTGAAAAGGCAACTTAAACGAAGAACAAGGCCTGAAGATCTGCTTCATGGTTTGCGATGCTTAGGTTCATTTGGAAAGATATTGCTTTTGTTTCAAGCGCCCCTCGAATGCCGGCCTGGGGGAGGCTCTGTGAAATAGCGATGTTGGCTGACAACATGTCGTGAAGTGCCGCAAGCAGTTGGGGGTTACCGAACATAAGGGGTCCCTAATAGAAATCCCCAAATCGTAGGATCCCCTTATCATAAGAACCCCAAAGAAGGTATCCCAAAATCTCGGAAACCGCCAGTTATCATCAAGCAGGTTTGGCAAATTCGCACCTGATGGGTGGCCAGGGACTCCACCGCCTCCGTCAATTGCGCCGCAATCGTCTGAAGGCTTCCTCAGTTGGTTTGCCAAGGCAGTGGAAGTAGTGTGGTAATATGGGGGGACCTGGGGGAGGAGAGGGCGGGGGAGGTAGTATAAATGGAGGAATTTGCGGGCGTGCGGTTGCGCCCCGTTTTTGGTCCGGCGCCCGGCTAAGTCCCAAACCCTATCAGCCGCGCAAGCAAGTCAAGCACACTGCAAATACAGATTTTTCCCTCAACCCCTGAGATCATGTAGGACGCGACGCCCAGTAGAAGCAATAGCAGTAGTACTAGCAGTAGCAGTAGCGGTAGCCGTAGCAGTAGCCATAGCCATATAGCAGCAGTAGCCGTAGCCCCGTAGCCGTAGCAGTAGCCGTAGCTGTGACCGTAGCCCCGTAGCCGTAGTAGCCGTATAGTAGCCGTAGCCGTAGTAGCCGCCGCCGCCAGTCGTCATCGCCGCCGCCGTCGTCGTCGTCGTCATCCTCGTCGTCGTTGTTGTGGTCGTCGTCGTAGTAGAAGAAGAAGTAGTAGTAGTAGCAGCAGCAGGAGGAGTAGTAGTAGTAGCAGTCGTAGTAGTAGTAGTAGTAGTAGTAGTAGTAGTAGTAGTAGTAGTAGTAGTAGTAGTAGTAGTAGTAGTAGTAGTAGTAGTAGTAGTAGGTAGGTAGTAGTAGTAGTAGTAGTAGTAGTAGTAGTAGTAGTAGTAGTAGTAGTAGTAGTAGTAGTAGTAGTAGTAGTAGTAGTAGTAGTAGTAGTAGTAGTAGTAGTAGTTAGTAGTAGTAGTAGTAGTAGTTAGTAGTAGTAGTAGTAAGTAGTAGTAGTAGTAGTAGTAGTAGTAGTAGTAGTAGTAGTCGTAAGTATAGTAGTAGTAGTAGTAGTAGTAGCAGAGTAGTAGTAGTAGTAGTAGTAGTAGTAGTAGTAGTAGTAGTAGTAGTAGTAGTAGTAGTAGTAGTAGTAGTAGTAGTAGTAGTAGTAGTAGTAGTAGCAGTAGCAGTAGCAGTAGCAGTCGCAGTAGCAGCAGTCGTAGTAGTAGTAGTAGTAGTAGTAGTAGTAGTAGTAGTAGTAGTAGTAGTAGTAGTAGTAGTAGTAGTAGTAGTAGTAGTAGTAGTAGTAGTAGTAGCAGCAGTCGTCGTCGTCGTCGTCGTAGTAGTAGTAGTAGTAGTAGTAGTGGTAGTAGTAGTAGTAGTAGTAGTAGTAGTAGTAGTAGTAGTAGTAGTAGTAGTAGTAGTAGTAGTAGTAGTAGTAGTAGTAGTAGTAGTAGTAGTAGTAACAGCAACAATCGTCATGATAATGAAGCTGTAGGAAGTTGGTGAAAGAAGTAGATGTCGGACCCGTTCCTAGCTAGCTCCAAGAACCAACCCCTGTTGATGAATACTGGTGGCTGCAAACCAAGCCAAGACAAGACACCTGGAGTCAATGTCATTGTTGTCCAGCTGGAACTGGCAGTGCTTGTCGAACTGGTGGACGAGCCCTCTGGATGCAAACACGATGTCGCACAAGTCTGACCCGGATGGTTCTTGGTAGCTGTGCACGTGCAAGTTCTGACTTGACATCCTACACTGACAACCCTATATCATACACAGCAAGTGCGGAGCATTGGGCGACGTTAATTAGCTGATGAAGTAGCAGTGGTCTGCAAAGGCTTCTCGATACGCTAATTTTTGGGGATCTGTGCTCCAGGGACGGAGCGCTTCGGGGACCCTAAGCCCTAAATCCTAAACTCCAAACCCTAAACTCTAAACCCTAAACCCCAAACCCTAAACCTTTGAAGGGATGGTTTTAGGGAATTGTTTGATGGATTTGGCCAAGGACGCGGCTGAATGTCGACAATAACGTAAGGTTTAGGGATTAGGGCTTAGGGTTGAGGGTGATAGGGTCTAGGCTGTTTTATCATGATGAGAATCATAAAAGTTACAATTATGATTTGTAAGGAAAGGCGCGAATACTCTCAGCAACCATCTCCAATCTAACCGGCCTCGGGGCCAGGGCCAGTCAGTGTATCTTGAACTGGGGGCCTCAAAACCTTGAAAACCCTAAGCCCCGCAAGCCCTGAACGTATACAAAAGCCTAAACGCCCTGAGCCCCAAAAGCCCTGAACCTAATACAAGACCCTAAAACCCTATAAGCCTGAACCTCGTACAAAACCCCAAACACCTGAACGCTGCAACACCTAAGCCCTAAACCCTAAACCCTAAACCCTAAACCCTAAACCCTAAACCCTAAACCTAAACCCTAAACCCGAACCCCAAAAACCCTAAACCCTAAACTCAGGGCCGAGGCCGCCCCCCTACGTTGTCCTCGGGACCAGTACTGGTCCCTTATCATATAGTGAGTACCCTAAACCCTCTGGTCATGGCCCGGTGCTCAAAAATCAGCCCTTGGCCCCCCCCTCATCCCCTGCCCCCCTGGCCCTTGATCCTCTGCACCTGTTGGCCCCCGCCTCTGGAATGTCTGGCCCGACCCCGCCCTTCGAGACCTCTTTGACTCTCGGACCCAACGCACGTCATGAAACTGAATAAGTTTTTAGAAGTGGACTTTTGTCTGAGTTTAGGCCTAAACCCTAAAAGGAATAGGTTTGGGTGGCTTTGCTGCCTTGGGGGTGGGAGAAAAGTGTTTGCAGGCCCTCCACAATCGGGCCAAAGCTGCTCTTCGCACCTCACGAAGCTTTCGAGCTTGTTCCGAAACCTAACCTTCACAGCATCTACGCCCTATCACGGCAAACCCTAAACCCTAAACCCTAAACCCTAAACCCTAAACCCCAAACCCCAAACCCTAAACCCTAAACCCTAAACCCTAAACCCTAAACCCTAAACCCTAACTAAACCCTAAACCCTAAACCTAAACCCTGGCCTGGACCCCAAGAAGCCAAACTGAGCCTGATACTGCTTTCAGCTTCTGAGGCTTGGGCTGTGGTGGTCTCGGAAGTTGTGCAAGTCAAGCAGCCCAGCTCCTTAAGGGTTGAGAATGCATTTAAGTAGGGTTGGAGGGGGGGGGGAAGGTTAAGCTTTAGGGGTGTAGGGTTCTGGATTCTTTTCTTTTGTTTTTTTTGCCTTTTTTTGGTTGGGGGGGGGGGGGGTTAGGGTTTATGGGTTTAGGGTTGGAGGGGGGGGGGGGGGTTATGGGTTTCGCCACCTCAAAGCCTTATGAAAGATCATCTCAAAACCGCTCTGCACAGAGGAAAGAAGAAACTGCCCTAAACCCTACACCCTAATTTGAACCCTACACCCTACACCCACCCGGACTGAACCTACTGCCACCCGCAATGATACATGGGTAGTTGAATCTACATGGGGTTGCCACGGCACGGGCCAATTGCATTTTCGATCTGTGCACCGACCCCAATGCACTATCCGTAGTAAAGATGCACACTGCCACGCTGCCTTGGCAATCTTCATGACAACCATGTCATATTCGCCCGCGTTGGTGTAGCCCGCGAAGCTTCCAGCAGTCTCGCCGGCGATCACGATGTCCCCAGAGCTCTCGACCTATCGCAAGGTGAAACACAAAAGATGGTGCGCATGTCGTGTCCAGTGTCCAGGTTCAGCAACATTGGCCCTTTTTGAACATTCTGACCAATAGCCGCAAAAAAACACTATGCCCTACCAGAGAGGTCCCTTTAACTAAGCTCCGACTACAGAAAAAACACGGCTGCTAGACATCGCAAAGGTGTTTTGGTTCTGTTTGCTTCTGCAGTACTCCCTTCCCCCCCCAACGACCGGAGCCTGCATTGCAAGCGCATAATCCGCCCGGGTGGTCCCTGTCTGGAAAGACCACTGCAAAGCTCCTAGCAAGTTCCCAGAATTCGGGAAGGATCCAATATGAGTATACGGTCCTATTTGGGTGTTCTACTTTTGGATCCTCCCAGGGGTCTGGGTTGAGACTGTTGGAGTAGAATCAGAGCAAGAAGAGTAGTTAACAAGAGCCCTCGTAGCAATCATAGTGATCAGATCAACCATAGTGTTCATACTGGTCATCAAAGGCATAGTACTCAC